AAGCTCATGGGAACAAACAAGCTAGGGTTGTTAGAACGAAGTGGTGGAAATTAGAAGGGGAGGCATCAAAGGTCTTTAAGAAAAAGGTCATTGAAGAGGGCCCTTGGAATGATGAAGGCGATGCAAACAACATGTGGGAGAAGATGGCAACATGTGTTCGAAAGGTTGCTTCAGAGGTGCTTGGAGTGACCAAAGGGAGCGGATGCGACTCGAAAGACACTTGGTGGTGGAATGAAGATGTGCAAAAGGCTATTAAGGAAAAGGAGTGCTATAAGCGGTTGTATCATGACAGGTGTGCAAACAACACAGAGAAGTACAAAGTGGCAAAGAAGACTGCAAAACGAGCGGTGAGTGAGGCAAAGGGGCGGGCCTATGAGGACCTTTACGGACGTTTGAGTACGAAGGAAGGAGAGAAGGACATTTATAAGATGGCTAGGACTCGCGATAGGAAGATAAGGGACTTCAACCAAGTCAAGTGCATAAAGGATGAGAGGGAGCAGCTCTTGGTGAAGGAGGATGAGATCAGACATAGATGGCAAGAGTATTTTGATAAATTGTTTAATGGTGAGAACGAGAACACCATCGTTCAGCTGGACGACTCGTTTGATGACATTAACAGGCGCTTTGTGCGGAGGATTCAAGAATCGGAGGTCAAAGAAGCCTTGAAAAGGATGAAAGGGGGTAAAGCGATGGGCCCTGATGGTATCCCAATCAAGGTGTGGAGATGTCTCGGAGATATAACTATAGTATGGCTAACCAAGATGTTCAACAATATATTTCGATCGAACAAGATGCCTGAGGAGTGGAGAAGAAGCATATTAGTACCAATCTATAAGAATAAGGGAGATATTCAAAGTTGTACTAATTATCGAGGAATTAAGTTGATGAGCCACACTATGAAGTTATGGGAGAGAGTCATCGAGCAGCGCCTGCGAGGAACGACGTAGATATCAACAAACCAATTTGGTTTCATGCCCGGAAGATCAACCACAGAAGCAATTTTCTTAATAAGACATGTTATGGAGCGGTTTAGAGAGCAGAAGGACCTCCACTTGGTTTTCGTTGACTTGGAGAAGGCTTATGACAAGATACCAAGAAATGTTATGTGGTGGTCTTTGGACAAACATAAAGTCCCATCAAAATACATGACCCTCATCAAGGACATGTACAACAACGTTGTGACTAGTGTTCGAACAAACGATGGTAACACATATTACTTTCTGATTAAAATTGGACTTCATCAAGGGTCAGCCTTAAGCCTGTATCTCTTTGCCTTGGTAATGGATGAGGTTACCAGGAACATACAAGGGGATATCCTTTGGTGTATGTTGTTCGCTGATGATGTAGTGTTAGTGGACGAAAGTCAGGCGGGAGTAAATATGAAACTAGAGTTATAGCGGCAGACCCTTGAGTCTAAAGGTTTTAGATTGAGCAGAACTAAAACCGAATACATGAGATTCGACTTTGGCGGAGTTGTAGAGGAGGAGGGAAATGTGAGTTTGGAAGGTCAAGTAGTGCCTAAGAAGGATACCTTTCGGTATCTGAGATCAATGCTACAGAGGGATGGAGATATTGATGCAGACGTTAGACATAGAATAAAAGCAGGGTGGATCAAGTGACGACAAGCTTCTGGCATTCTCTGTGACAAGAGGGTACCACAAAAGCTAAAAGGCAAGTTCTATAGAACGGCGATTAGACCGGCTATGTTGTATGGAGCAGAATGTTGGCGTACAAAGATTCGACATGTTCAACAACTGAGTGTTGCAGAAATGCGTATGTTGCGATGGATTTGCGGTCACACAAGAATGGACCGAGTTCGGAACGATGATATACATGATCGTCTAGAGGTAGCACCAATTGAAGAAAAGCTTGTCCAACATCGGTTGAGGTGGTTTGGCCATGTCCAAAGGAGACCTCCAGAGGCACCAGTGCATTGTGGAGTCCTAAGCCAAGCTAATAATATGAGAAGAGGTAGAGGAAGACCGAAATTGACATGGAGGGAGGCAATAAAAAGAGATTTGAAAGCTTAGGATATACCTAGAGATCTATGTTTGAAAAGAGTGCTTGGAAAGCAGCTATTGAAGTGCCTGAACCGTGACTTGGGGCTCTTGGTGGGTTTCAATTCTAGACTACCCCAACTTGCTTGGGACTGAAAGACTATGTTGTTGTTGTTGTGGTGGTGGTGACTATGAGTTTCTAAATTCGATCCTGCAGTGTGTAATGTTAATGGAGCTCTTGTGCATGTTATTATTGTTATCTACAAGTCACATATGACAATATAAGTGGATTCAGTGGAACATTCTGTTCAATCATTCTACCATTTTATAACTCCTTTATATCATACCTGAATATCTGTAAACATTCCCCTCAACATGTGATAAGAGCCTTAAGGCCACCACCAGTTGTTAAACATCAGGAGTCTAAGGTCCAAAAGAAAGAGTTTGAGTAACTATGTTACCGTATTTAGGTACTATTGATGACTAATGCAATAACATGTGCTCTTTAACAGAGGGTATTTTGGCGTGGTGTTGTCGAAGAACTCCTGTGGTTCATCAGTGGCTCAACTAATTCAAAGGTGCACATGATTAAATCATTTTAGCAGATCTAGTGCTATCTTTAGCCAAATTTATCCAATATTTTGATTTAATTTAGGTATTTATGCCTTAATGTCTCTCCTGCGTTTTCGAGAAAAAAAATTATGCCTTAATGTATTACCTGCAGCCTACATGCCATGATGCTTATGACACTTTGTTGGATTTTACGAAATGTACTAACCCCTTTGCAACTTATGTCTAGGTACAAACAATTACAATGCTATGTTGATACCTGCACTTTTGTAGAGTTTTGTTTCATTTGTTTTTCCTTTCAATCACAAACACAAGACTGTTTAGTTTTTCTAACTTTGCATGACATAATTCTGGGTACTTTCGTCTCTCTTCCTTTTACACCCTTGCCTGAATACTAATTTGATCACCAAATGCCTTCTCTTCCTCATTTATTTTTTTGACATCATATTACTGCAGCCTAACTCATTAATAGTGTAAGACAAGCTGTTCATTTTTTGTGTACTATGTTTCTTATTGTATTAATTTGATATGATAAGAGTAGACATGGAGGAGAGACCATTCATTGATTAAACTACCATTTATACTATGTTGCAGTAGGAAGAAATTTTGTCTCAAAATTGTACGACCATGCAGCAAAATTGAAGAGGCTGAAATGACTTACATTTGTGGGGTATTCATCCTAACCTCTTCAATTTTGTTGCAGTAGGACACTTAAAAATTGTTTCTTGAAAGTTCTTGTTTTCTAACCTTGCCCTTCAATTCATAGGTTTTGCAAGAGAAAGGTATCCATATCTGGGATGGCAATGCTTCAAGAGAGTATCTTGACAGGTATATCTTGGATATAGGCTGCAAATAATTTATATTTCGGTTCTTGATGCCTAATCCACATGGCCATCTTTTCTAGTGTTGGCTTGGCACACAGGGAGGAAGGCGATCTAGGTCCAGTTTATGGATTTCAATGGCGACACTTTGGTGCTGAGTAATCTTACATTCCACTCCCTCCCTCCTCTCCTTCTCTTGCTTTCTGCTCTTTCGCTCTCTGTCATCTTTATGATAATTTAGTTATTTGACAGATATAAGGACATGCATGCTAACTATACTGGAAAAGGTTTTGATCAGCTAACGGATGTGATTGACAAGATAAAAAACAATCCTGATGATCGCCGAATAATTTTGTCAGCGTGGAATCCTCCAGATCTTAAGAAAATGGCTCTTCCTCCTTGCCACATGTTTGCACAAGTTAGTGTAATTTGTCTGCTTGATTTAAGTTTTATTTTTTTTACTATTGGCTCTGTTTTGACTTTCCCATGATGGGCACACTTGTAATAGTCCATTGTAAGTTGAAAATTAGTTCTACTTTTAAATTATAGTAGATTGCGAACGTAAACTATATCTTGCTAATACATTTGTAAGAGTCAGAACATATTACTTGCATATTTATTTGTGATAGCTTTGCCAACTAACAACATTTGCATTCAACCTCTTACAACGTCATCCAGTTTTATGTGGACAATGGGGAGCTATCCTGCCAGATGTATCAACGCTCTGCAGACATGGGGCTTGGTGTTCCATTCAACATTGCATCATATTCTCTTCTCACATGCATGATTGCTCAAGTTTGTGGTACGTTCTTGTATGCCTTAATCGTATTATTTCAACTAAGCTTGTTGTGCACCTTAATACATAGCTTCTTGGTTGTCTGTTGTACTGTATAACTGTATTCTAGTTTAGATTAATTTCATTTGGATGCATTTACTGTGCACTTTGATTTTCCCTTTTACTTGTAGAAACAACACACATGTTAGGTCTATATTCTAGATATTTTTGTAACTAGTTCTGAATAGTTTATATGATGCAAGGATTGTGATGCTATCTGGTATGTTTTCCTGTTCTTTCTTTTGATGCCATTTGTATCTAACTGATAAAAGCTAGAGTAGGCTGTGATGCCATCTTGTATATTGTTTGTTTCTTTTTGATGTCTTTTGTATCACCGATAGAAGCTAGAGCAGGGTGTTTTGCAGCTCTAACCCGTTGTCTTAATGTTGCAAGATCTTTCTCCTGGAGATTTTGTCCATGTCATAGGGGATGCTCATGTCTATAGAACTCATGTTCGAGCTCTGGAGGAGCAAATTCAGAAGATGCCTAAACCATTTCCAGTGAGCCATTCCTAACAGAACTATTTTATTGAAAAGATGAAATCTGCTTGTTCAAACTAGATGGTTTGATGTTTCTTTTTGTGTGCATTCTGCACATATGTATCTTACTCTGTATGGGCGTTATATGCAGATTTTAAAGATGAATCCTTCAAAGAAGGATATAGATTCTTTTGTGGCATCAGACTTCAAGCTGGTTGGCTATGATCCTCACCAGAAGATAGAGATGAAAATGGCAGTATAATGGTAATATTCTATCGTTTCTACTGATGGATTATCATTTTCTTTTGTCATTACAGGTTTGCTTGGTCGCTGGCACAACACAATTGCCAATTTTGGTAGTTTGTTGCATGCACCATGCAGTTCAGTCAATTGGCTAGGAGGAATAATAGGAAAGATGGGGAGTGATTGTAGGGAGTGGATTAGCCTCGATGGCTATTTACCTGTTCAGTCAATTGGTTTGTTGCATGCAGTTCAGTCAATCGGCTAGGAGGAATAATAGGAAAGATGGGGAGTGATTGTAGGGAATGGATTAGCCTCGATGGCTATTTACCTGTTCAGTCAATTGGTTTGTTGCATGCAGTTCAGTCAATCGGCTAGGAGGAATAATAGGAAAGATGGAGAGTGATTGTAGGCGTGGATTAGCTTCGATGACTATTTACTTGTAACCGCATGGGCTTTAGTGGTTAAGCAAGAAGTGAGTTATTATGATCAGAGCCTCCTAGGGAGGAGATCAGGCTCACAACCTTGCCATTGTTCTAAGTCTAGCCAGATTTAATAAAGACAATCATCCAGCCATATCATCTGTCCAGAATGTGCTGGTGAAGACCGGTCGATGTCGCTGGCGATGGTCGAAGAAGGCGTGCGCTACCGTGAAGTCGCCCGTGTAAAGGGGTGGCCAAGAAGCGATGAAGTGGCGTGCTTGGAGAAGCGGTCAATGACGATGAGCATCCAGACTGGGCCAAATCGGTGGTGCTCACCGTCGTTGACCACTTCTCCAAGTACGCCCACTTCATCGCTCTTGGCCACCCCTACACGGCGACTACCGCGGGCACGCGTCTTCTTCGACCACATCGCTCGCTCCACGACATCCCTTGCTCCATCGTCAGCGACCGCGACCGGTCTTCACCAGCACATTCCGGACAGAGCTCTTTGCTCTATCCGGGGTGGACCTCCGCCTCAGCTCCACGTTCCACCCACAGAATGACGGCCAGTCAGAGGTGACCAATAGGGTGCTTGGCGTCTACATCCAGTGTCTTGCCGGCGACCAGCCACGCAACTGGTTGCGTTGGCTGCCATCTGCTACAACACATCGTACCAGACGACACTGCACACTACTCCTCTCCAGGTGGTCTATGGCTGGGCGCCACCCACTATGGCCAGCTATCAACCCGGTGTCGCCCGCGTCACTGCACTGGACAAGCAGCTCCGTGATCGTGATGCCTTCTTGGCTGAAATCCGTGAGTGGCTGCTGCATGTTCGCGACCACATGAAGCTTCAGTATGATGCTGGTCATATAGGGACATCCAGTTCAACATTGGATACTGGGTGTGGCTCCATCTGCACCATCGCGTCGCTGCTGGCATCACCAACAAGAGCAGCAGCAAAGTGTCGCCGCGCTACTATGGCCCATATCAGGTCGTCGAGCGTGTTGGCCCAGTGGCGTATCGTCTTCAGCTGGCCACCCAAGGCAAAGATTCATGATGTCTTCCATGTGGTGTTCCTCAAGCAGTTCGTAGGGACACCATCAGCAGCTGTGGTGCCTCTTCCTCTCCTATCACGAGGCCGTGTAGTGCCAATGCCTGAGTCCATCGTCCGCACTCGCCTCAACCGTGGCTGCTGGGAACTTCTAGTTCAATGGGTTGGTCGGCCAGCTGCTGAAGCAACCTGGGAAGCTCTGGACACATTCAAGGAGGCGCACCCAAAATTCCAGCTCAAGGATGAGCTGTTTCTCAAGAAGACCAAGTCCACAACTTAAATGGTTAGCAGGCGGCTTGACTGGTGCCAATTTTGGTAGTTTGTTGCATGCAGTTCAGTCAATGGCTAGGAGGAATAATAGGAAAGATGGGGAGTGATTGTAGGGAGTGGATTAGCCTCGATGGCTATTTACCTGTTCAGTCAATTAGTTTGTTGCATGCAGCTCAGTCAATCGGCTAGGAGGAATAAAAATAGGAAAGATGGGGAGTGATTGTAGGGAATGGATTAGCCTCGATGGCTATTTACTTGTAACCCACATGGGCTTAGTGGTTAAGCAAGAAGCGAGTTATTATGATCAGAGCCTCCTAGGGAGGGTGATCAGGCTCACAACCTTGCCATTGTTCTAAGTCTAGCCAGATTTAATAAAGCCAACCACCCTGCCATATCAATTGCTTCTCGCTGCTAGTATTGCATTTTGCCAGGATAAATCTTATCTGTCAATTACATGCTATTGTTTCCTTGACATTGTTGTACTGCTCCTTTTGTCCCTGATGACCCTGAATATTAAAGACTTTGGCCTGGAACCGTGTACTGGTCTTTTCACCCATTCGCCACTGCAGAGTCTGGAACTAAATGCATACATGCTCTAGTAAAAGTTTTGCTATAGCTGCATTGCTTTACCATGATTCATGTTGCGCTCTTTCAACTTTTGCAGGTGGCTCAGCTCAGCTGGAGCCCCAGCCTAGGACCTTGGCGAAATCATTCAGACTGGTAGTATATATATACTCCTACAAATTAACCGGGCATGGCACTATAGTTTGTTTTCGGTGATGGTGCTGAATGTCCATTGGGATTTGGGAGTTTCTGCCCTTGTTTTCAGTTGTGTACTCTAGTCGGTTAAATGAACTCTACCAAATTGGTTCTCCCCTGCCCTTTTATGGGGCCATTTGATGACTCAATTGCGAGTGAGATGCTTTGGGCACACCCTGTTGCAAGGGCCCACTGATGTGTGCACCCGTGAGGCTGAGGCTGCACACTTTGTAACTGAAAATGTTGTGTACTTGATTAAACTTCGTACGGTTTCTATCTGGTTGCCTTCATGCGTAGGTCTGATTTTCGAGTTGCACATCAGCCAGATGACAACTTGTGAGTTGTGACGGTAGGTTTTTAAGAATGCATTCTGCTCCATTTTTCCTGTGCTGTGTTGGTTGGGTGAAAGGTGAGTGCCGTGCTTGCTTGACATAGCTCGGCCCTGTTCGCTTTCATTTGAAAAAGGGTAATCGAAAAAAATCTTGTTCGTTGATTTGTTGTTTTGTTGTGAGAGAAAAATATTGTCTGTGGTGATAAGCAAAGGGTGATAAGTTCAAGCTTCAAGCGAACATGGCATCGGATCGGCCTTGCTAACCGTTCTATTTTGTAAGCTTACCGACCGTCTTCATAATAAATATAACACGTAGTGGTAAAATTTGCATGAGATCGTTTTTCATCTCCAAAACGTTGTATAGCCTTACTCCAAAATTTGCTCTGACCAATGGAAGCCTCCAACGTCCAAGCCTAGATTGCGATTAAGGATGAAAATGGTCGGGAAAACCCTAAATCGTTTTCTACTTTTACATTTGAATACGAAAACGAAAGAGAAAGCGAAAGCGGTAAAGCCGAACACAAAAACGAACGCGAACTTATGGAATATCGAGAATTTCGAAAACGAACCAAATCGAGCGGAATTATATCGAACACGGTCGGTATATGAAAAATTAATACGGAATAACGACCCGTAGGACTAAGTCTTGCTCTCCGGAATTTATGTGTAGCACCATAAATATTTACCTTGAATCTCCAACCCAAACCCCTTCCTAGATTTTCTAGAAATTACAAAAGGCGTCACAAAAATACAAAATCCAATTTGGGCTAATTTTTCCTCCCTCCTCTGCCTACGCTTGGCCCGATGGCCGCTCGGCATGGCAGGCTCGCTGGCAGCAGCCAACGCCCACGCTACATGCAAGCTGCAAGTGCTAGCCACCAGGCGCCCTTCTCAATTTGTACCACCTCGCTTACACAATGGGAGTGAGAGAGCCGATCCTCTATATAAGATCAGGCGCTCAATTCTAGCCGCAGACCACAGCCAGCCCACTGCAAAGCGCTCCTTGCGTCGTAGGATGCCTTAATTGGGCCGGGCTGTGCTTAGATTGGAAATCCTAACCGAATTTGAAAAACGGTACAATCCGAATAAAATGGATGCGGTTTTGGTTTGGGGTATTTTCGTACCGTATTCATCCTTAATTGCGACAATGTGTAACAGAAATTGTGGGCCCCACCCCGTGAGGGGTACCAGTAATGAAGGTATAGAGTGCCTTCTCTAGTCCAGAGTATAGGCCCATTATATTAGCTTTGACTAATCCTATTGTCTTCGTACTAATTTCAACCGGACACGCTATAAAATAGAGAATTCCTATAAATGTTCATAGAAAAGGCAAACATCTTGCTTCTAAATTACCAACCTATATATACCAATACCACAATAAAAAATAATAGAGCAGCCCCTTAAATATACATCTAAATCACCCATTTGCTAAGGCTTGTTTGGATTCATCCTCTAAACTTTAGAGCCCTCAATTTTAGAGCTAAGTTTCTAAACAGTGGTCTAAAGTTAGCTCTAAACTTTAGCTCACCTCATATTAGAGTTTACCATAAAAGTGAGCTAAAGTAATCTAAAGTTTTTAGAGCTTTAAAGTCGCCCACCTCATATTAAAGCTTACCACAAAAGTGAGCTAGAGTGATCTAAAGTTTTTAGAGCTCTAAAGTTTAGAAGTAGAGATCAAACACGCCCTAATCTGTCAACCGTGGTGATGCATGGCTACCAATTTTGTAAGGGACATAAGTATTATAAAAGTTCATGGATAAATTTGGCCCGTGAACTAATCAAAATTTGGTGATGCATGGCTACCAATTTTGTAAGGGACATAAGTATTACAAAAGTTCATTGATAAATTTGGCCCGCCAACTAATCAAAATTTTAAGAGGGGAAACCGATGTAAGCAATTTAATTAGTTATGCGGGTCTCAAATTTATCCAGACTTTGAACATTTATGTTCTTGTAATTTCTTGCTTGATGACAAGTAGCATGTAAAAGTATATATTATTTTCAAAAGACCAAGTTATATTTTATGAAAGTATTTTATTGCTGAATAAAATAAATAACCAAAAGTAACCCATAATCTTTTATATATATATATATATATATACACACACACACACATGGCAGCGCTATTCTATACCAAGCCAAAACTAACCTGAAAAAAATACTGAGTAGTAGTGAACCGTATTAAG